AAAGTATGAAATTTCCGATATGTACCGAAAAAATTTAACTTGTTATTTCCTAAAATTAAACATATATATTTAATCAAAATATTTACACTCATCTTTACATTGCTGCCGTGTAATAGGAATTTCATTTATGCCTTTGCGATAGAACTCTGGTAATCTAGATTCAACAAACTGTGTCAAACATGTATTGTGCCTCCCGGGAAGATATTTATTACGTAAACAATTGTCCAAATCACGAAAAAAATGGTAGTCCGTTGATGAAAGGTCTGTCGAGTACGTATGGTGCCTACAACTCCTGTAGAGCAGCACCTCCCCTTAAATATTGTTATCTGTGGTTCTAATAATTATCATTGAGCTTCCATATTTATTTCTACATCCCCAAAATCGTTTCATACAATATATATAGAAAGAAGCCTTTCGATTAACGAATAGAATGATTCGAATGTACATTTTCGCTTTGGCGATTAAGCAAAATCGAATCGCCTTAGGATACTCGTATGCACGCACAATGGTATGCTAAATTTCTTATGAACCAGTTACAGTCAATCAACGGCCTGCTAAAAATCTATTAGAGACTCTAAAAGTATTCAACCCGTGATATAAATATTTTTTAAATTCAAATTTGGAATGGAATATAAACAATTTAAAAATTAAGTGAAATTAAAAATATATTGTCAATCGAATTTTAAAAGAGAAGGCCGTAACGCTTCCAATAGCAGGTGGTCAAGTTTCCGTACTAAATATGTGTAGTCTCACACGTGCTAATGGTTTGTTTTTCGGACTACTCTAATGCTGTTGGCCGCAGCTGGCCTTTACAGCTTCATCGGACGATAGGGTGCGAGTGCAGATGGCACTCCAAACCCGCGGAAGGACTTACGAAGCGGCTGAAGGCCAACTCCCGCTTGACGGATACGACTTAAGTCTGAGGGCACCGCTAGGGGTTCGAACCTCGGCTCAGGCCGTCGTAACATCGGTCCCCGTTTGAATTGTACGGGGGATCGATCGGATGGGGCGTGCTAATGGTATAGGAATTGAACAAAATAATGTAAACGCATCTTACTGATACTATAAATGCGAAAGTTTATGAATATGGATGACTGTTTGTTGCTCTTTCACGCAAAAACTACGAAACCAAATAATATAAATCCACAAAGTAACTATTAAATTGGTCATTAAAACAAAATATTACGCAAAAATTGTATAAAAATATTGTATAACTAGCTGCTACTACGAACTTCGTTCCATCTCAGTATTAAATAACATGTCAAAGGATTTTTGAAAGTTTAGTTACACAATAAATTTCTAAACGCAACCTATTTGACAGGTACGATCAGTTTGTATGGTATGTTTGTATGTTATTTTACTGTTTTTCTTGCAATTTTTCCATATTTTATCACTGTTCTAACCTTCCCTGGACTATACTGAATATTTCAAGACTAAAATTAGCCAAATCGGTTCAGCTGTTCTCGTCTTTTAGCGAGACTAACGAACAGGAATTCATTTATATATATATAGATTACTGACAAACACACAAAATGAATAGTTCTATAATAAATATAGGTCAAATGCAATCACATTGTCGCGGAATTTTAGATCAACATAATTTAGGTTTGCGACCCGCGTTTCGCGGAACTGCCTAAATTGCGACCCGCAAGGGAAAAGATTGAGCAAAACTGCCATAAGCCATTCGTATGCGGTCACGTCGTGAATATGAATGGCGTATTACCAGAGGGTGCGGGTTTGATGCCTGATATAATAATAAACGCTGGTAGGCGTAACATGCTGGTGAAAAAATATGTATGAGATGTAAACATACTATTTATGTAATAAGATAGAGAGAGAGAGAAGATAATAGTACAGAAATTAAAGTGGACTTGAGTTTTTTAGTAAAGGTAAGGTAATAAGTCGGATGCATGGTTACCACAATGACAATAGGAACTGGCTGACTACATAACATGGCTATAACAATATTTCAGCTGTAAACCTTCCCAATATCAAATAGGATATACATATAAATAAAATTTAAGTATCTGTTTGTAATATATTATATAATCTGTGGTAATACTGAAATAGCCCTTTTTTTACTACATGCATATGAATATAAATACGGTACATACACTAAAATAATATTTTTCACAATTTTTGTCTGTCTGTCTGTTTATTCCGGCTATTCTCTGGAATGACTGGACCGATTTTGACGGGACTTTCTTTGACAGGTAGCTGATGTAATAGCTAACTTAGGCTTCTTTTAATTTAGAAAATAAAGTTAAATTACACGCGGACAAAGGCGCGGTAGCTAGTCTTAAATATAGTTACTAGTAACAAAACGTGTTTTCTTGTTGTTCATATAAAGTTACATATTATTTCTTTTGTTTAAACCCTTGAGATTTTCTCTATAAATTCAGAAATCATTTATTCATGTAGAACATTTTAGCCGCCTTTGAACGTAACATTTTTATATTATAATTGTTTGCCTACCCTCCAGTTCAGTATACAGCTTCAATTCATAAGAACTGGCAAGAAACTCAATATTTTTTTTTTAATGCCAGTTTTATATAGGTTTCTATATCTAACATTAAATGAAAATCCCGTGCATGAACAACTATTGCCATGCACGCTCGTCATTCAAGTAACCGTTTAATGAGTAATAGGCTTTGCTCAGTAAATATGATTTAACGGATGATTTGAATTTATTTAAGGGTAATTCCAAAAGTTTAAAAAAAGAATTTCGAAATTCAAAACAATCTCTACTCGTTCAAAACCATATTCTCCCGCCAATGAATTTGTATCTTTTTTAAATTTCATTTCGATCGCGTAAACGAGGTGAAGGTGGACTCGGCCAAGTCTATTTGAAGTTACTTTCCTTATGAATTTATTTAAGGGTAATGCCAAAAGTTTAAAAAAATAATTTCGATTCAAAACAATTCCTACTCCTAATACAAAACCATGTTCTCCCTCCAATGAAGTTGTATCTTTTTAAAATTTCATTTTGAATCTCGAAATCGAGGCAACTGTCGACACGGTCAAGTATATTTGAAGTTACTTTCCTTATTAATTTATTTAAGGATAATTCCAAAATTTAAAAAAAGAATTTCGTATCAAAACAATCCACTCGTAATACAAAACCATGTTCTCCCTCCAATAAACTTGTATATTTTTAAAATTTCATTTTGAATCTCGAAATCGAGGCAAAAGTCGACACGGCCAAGTCTATTTGGAATTTATATTCTTTAAGGGTATTTCCAAAAGTTTAAAAAAAGAATTTCGAAATTCAAAACAATCTCTACTCGTTCAAAACCATTTTCTCCCGCCAATGAACTTGTATCTTTTTAAAATTTCATTTTGAATCTCGAAATCGAGGCAAAGGTCGACACGGCCAAGTCTATTTGCAAGTTACTTTCCTTATCTAACACACCGCTAATAGTTTTCCCTCCCTACGGGCATTTACTGAGTCGAAACTTCAGGAACGAATTCATTTGAATTTCAACACAATGTTACGTGTATATTACACGCTTCTCTTTCAAACGTTAGTTCTTCAAATACTGAATATGAAAGTTTCTCTTGCAGGTTCGTAACTTTTAAGAGGTAAAGCAGGCGTCGAATTTTTTTAATATGTGTTGTAAGTTATTTATTTTTATTTTTGCGATGGTCTAATGGAAAATAGACCTGTGATTCCCTAAGTAGGCTGGTCTATATCGACCCCCAGGGGTCTATGACAAACTGTATGGGGTCTACGACAGCGGTAATCTTGTTGTTTTTACTTTATATTTTTAACACTAAACTTTAACTAAATTACAAAAAATCAATATCAGGTAAAAATGGGAGGTCTACCCGAAACCGAAAAATATGGCAAGGGGTCTACGACACAAAAAAGTTTGGGAACCTCTGATCTAGACCAATACAAATAATCATGTTGAGGGCAAAGAAATTATTACTAATGTGGATTAATGAATATGATGAACACTTTTTTTGGCAGGTAGCTGATGTAATAAGAAGTAACTTAGGCTACCTTTATTTTAGAAAAACAAAGTTAAATTCCACGCGGGCGAAGTCGCAAATACAGCTAGTACATAATAAAAATCAAGACATTACGCGAGGAATCGAACCCGCGACCATTAGAAGTTAGGCTACCGCGGCCGTCAATTATATTTGTAACATTCGGGCGGGTGAAGACAACCGAATCTCTCGAAACTGGATAAATGGTGTGTCTCTTACACTTTTCCCATCCATCATTCGCTGGCTTTATCCCTGAAGATTTGAGAACACTCGGGATTAGATGTTTTATCTGAAAATCAGATGTTCCGCAAATCGTACTCGGATCATTTCATCCGAATTTATCACTCAATTGACCATGTCATTAGATCCGATAAAATGTGACTCATATAGTCACATTTTATCGGAGGTTGACTGTATAGGGTCGTCATTCTGTTCTATTTTAATTATGTATGTAGTTTATAATATGTATGTAGTTTATGTAAGTGTATCTAGTTTAATATATGAATATTATTGTGTACATAAATTTTAATTCATATAATATTTATTATTATTTTTCTTTATTATCATTATATATTTGTTACCTTTTAGTTTTCTCCTGTTCATGTCATTTAACCTACCTGTTCGATGTTTAAATCCGTTTCCCTAAGGTTGCCTTGAAAAGATTGCTTTTAGCAATAAGGCCGCCTTATTGTAACGATACATGTGTCTTTTGTTATATTGTTTGTGCTTCTTCTTTACTGTACGTTGCAAATAAAGTATATTCTATCTATCTATCTATCTATCTATTTTATTATTTAATTGATTTAAATTATTTTATTTAATTCCGCTATCATTAGCATGTGTGAGATCACAAATATTCAGTGCGGAAACCTGACCACCGCTACTGGAAGCGTTACGACTTTCTCCATTGGTGATCAAATTCCGACTGTTATTAACTCTACAGCAATAATGTGATACGTGTTTCGTCTCTGAACTAAACATCATTAGACATCGCATATAGCTCGGATATGGCTTGTAAGCTTAGTGTTGACTGTTCGGCGACGAAACTGCGACTCTTGCACAGTTGCGGAACAGTGCATATGCAAATGGCAGTAGAATTAAACAAAATGATAGAAAACAATTACGTTGTCTATTTCATGAATATTCGAAAAAGGAATATATTTTAGTAGATTTTATTCATATAAAATTATAAATCTAACATTTATTATAAATAATTTGCTCAGTAAGTAGGCTAGGTAAGTTATTTGCTCATTCTTCTTGTACTGTATCTCTCTCTGAATTGTGCTGTTATATCGTTTTATTTACAAAAAAAAGAAGCAAAACAAATTGTATATATGACGCTGACTATCACGTCCACCTTTCACGCAATATGATTTATTATCTGTGTTAACTCACAATTTATGGCGGGAAAAAATGGCTGTACACTATGGAATTTGGCCTTTGGTATAAATCAACTAGAGAGGTGTGTAGGTGGGTATGAAATTCGAGATTGACATTGCACATTTCGAGAGCGAAAATTATACCTGATTTATAAATGAAATGGCAAACAAACTTCCTGAGTTTGTTTACCTTTATGGCTTCGGCCCCTCTACATACAAATCGATGTATGATACCACTACGATGTAAATTTTTTAGAAGTAATCGTCCTTCAAATAAACTTAATGCAAGCACTTTTGAATAGTCATATTTTTTTTATTTTACCACTAATTCAGAACGCAGACTCATCGCAAGAAGAATGAGCAAGATACTTACGTGTAGGTCTTTTCCATAAATGTTTTTAAATGAATACACATTAACAGAGAGGCATGTGTTAATTAATATAGAAACCAAACTCGATGAAATACAACCAATATCAACATTTCCCACTACTCAGATGTTTGTATAAATAATTTTTAGAATTATTCGAAACTACTAGACTTGTTCCAAAAAAAAACTGAGATAAACATAGCCCTATGTTTATGTCATTTGTATGAACAATCCAATACAGTACAAATTTTGGAAATAAAATATGCAAACAATAATATAAACTGAATTTTCAGTACAACGAAAGCAAAATCTTTACATTAACTATAACAATAGATTTTAGTTTAAATACTTTTTATATTTGACCATTCTTCTCTTTTTGTTCCAGTTTGTTCCACGATCGACACAGCATCGGAGCAAACAGCCGTTCATGACAGCAGGCGAGCCGTACGCTTCATGGATAACCGACTAGACAATATAAATACTACACTAAAAACAAATAGGACCAATTTGAATAATATTAAATATAATGGTAGAAATAAAATTGTAGAAGACGAAATATACACATCGAATGATGATATTGTAAAGAATTTTGAAATGCACAAGATTAGAATGAGAAATTTCAATGAGAAAATGAGTACAGTGCAGTATGGACCGAAGAGGAAAGTGTACACGAAGAGGGATCGATCACACATGGAGATGCCTAGGAAGAGGATGAAGCGGTCACAAGATAGCCGCTGTGAAGCATTTGAATATCACGGTCAAGACCAGAAGCAAATAAAGCATCCGTATCCTAGAGATGATGCTAACAATACCAATTATCATAGCAACATACATTGCGTCACTGTAATAAATGGTGAGTTCTGTTTATTTATTTATAAAGTAGATAGATAGATAGATCGATTTATTGCCAACATAACACAAATAATACAATTTAAAATAAGACCCAAAATAAGAAATAAAAAATAATATAGAAAGTTGGCAATAGGAGCTGTCTCAGTTGTTGCTGATATAAGTACAACCTCAATGATGTGCACCTAAACAGCGCTGGTTTTCAGGGTTTTTTTTAACAATACAGAGATACATATAAATTTATTATATTTAAGGTAACAAAACAAAATATTCAATAAGATCTGAAATAAAATATAAATAAATATATATATAACTCAAAGGTGACTGACATTGTGATCTATCAACACACAGCCCAAACCACTGGGGGGATCGGGCTGAAATTTGGCATGCAGGTAGATGTCATAACGTAGGCGTCCGCTAAGAAAGGATTTTAATAAATTCTACCCCCAAGGGGATAAAAAAGGGGACGAAAGTTTGTTTGAAACTTTGTCAATTTTAAACTGATCGGACTGAGACTTTGCATACATAAAGCTACTATGACGTAGGCATCACCTAAGAAAGGATTTTAATAAATTCCACCCCTAAGGGGATAAATTAACGCGAGCGAAACCGCGGGCAAAAGCTAGTTTATAATATAAGAAGCGAGTGGAAACGGACCAGTACAAAGCAAGGCGACGTACCGTAGCAAATACCAGCACGTATTGTCATATAAGCAAGTAGTTCCACTATGAGACAAGTTCTACAATTCACTTGGCAAACGCATCGCCCAAGATATTGTTCCGACTTCAGTATTTGTGTCACGGAACATTCCACTTTGGAACAAGGCGCAAATCTCTGGGTACATAACGGAATATTCTTGAGCAAACTTTCATAAAAATGATATTGCACTATCGCTGGGATTTACTGAGCCGTTTTTGAAGTTATTTAAGTTTGTATACACAGAGATTTCATTTCAAAATATGTTAGTGAACGGATGCAGATTTTGTTATGCACAACAAAAATCTGCAGATTTTACCAAACTGATGAGGAAACGCCACTACACATCCTATGTATGTGGTTGTAGCCCACTCATGCATAAACGTAATATCTCCTTTGGAAAGTTTACACTCTATCCTGAGGTGATAAAAACCATCGCTCCTAAGAATATCCTTCAATTCTTGTCCCTGACGAGTCTAGGCAGCGAACTCTGAATAGCGCAAAAATGTTGGTCATTGCTACAGGTCCAAGCACCTGATAATGGCCCAATACACCGATAAAAAAAATGTTAGTGAAAAATAAATTTTTAATTTAAATAAACTAAGGTAATTCAAGTTAACGCATATAACAAGTATGGTAACGCTTCTCTTAGCGGTGGTCAGGTTTTCGCATTGAATGTTTGTGGTCTCACTCATGCTAATTGTACCGCAATTAAGTAAATTAATATAACTCCATTAAGTAGTAAAAGGAACTTAATAAAATGTGTCCTGAAAATACTTTTTTTAATTTTCTGATCTTTATATATTTGTATGTATGTATGTACGTGTATGTAGTTATATTTGTATACTAGCTGTTCCGTGGAATTTAAGTTTATTTTTCTAAAATAAAAGTAGTCTAAGTTACTCCTTATTACATCAGCTACCTTCCAAAAAAAGTCCCTTCAAAATCGGTCCAGTCATTTCAGAGATTAGCCGGAACAAACAGACAGACAGACAAAAATTGTAAAAAAAATATTTTGGTGTATATGTACCGTACATTTATATTCATATGCATGTAGTAAAAAACGTTTGTATCAATATTACAAACAGACACTCCAATTTTATTTATATGTATAGATTTCAAATACCTTGTGGTCGCTGTAAGCTCCTTAGGAGGCTGTAGCAAGCTTACAGGAAATTAAGGGATGTAAGGCAGACTAGACGGCCGGTGGGGTTGGAATGAGAAATGGCGATAAATTAAGTGATAATACGAAACAGAAGAAATTTGCGGTACTTCTCTTTGTTTTTATCTATACATATAAATAAAATTGGAGTGTCTGTTTGTAATATTGCAATAACCGTTTTTTACTACATGCATATGAATATAAATACGGTACGTACAACAAAATAACATTTTTTCCAATTTTTGTCTGTCTGTCTGTCTGTTTGTTCCGGCTAATCTTCAGAGATGGCTGGACCGATTTTGACTGAATTTATTTTGCCAGGTAGCTGATGAAATAAAGAGTAACTTAGGCTTCTTTTATTTTAGAAAAATTAAGTTAAATTCCACGCAGATGAAGTCGCGTACAGCTAGTGTTATATACATATAATGCAAACGTTGTTGAGCCCTAAAATATATCGCTATTAAAAAAATAGGGGTTGATGGTAGGATGGTGAAAATTACGGATATTACGGATATACGAACAACTGAATATTCTTAAACAAACTTTCATAAAAATGATATTGCTCCTTCACCGAGATTTAGTGAACCATTTTTGAAGTTATTTAAGTTTGTATACACGAAAATTTCATTTAAAAATATGTTAGTGAAAATTGAACAAACCTATAACAAACCTAGACCTACCAACCTAGGCACAACAAAAGTTTACATATTTTGACAAACTGAAGAGGAAACGCCACTACACATCCTATGTGGTTGTAACCCACTCATGTATAAACGTAATATCTCCTTTGGAAAGTTTACACTCTATCCTGAGGAGATAAAAACCATCGCTCCTAAGAATATCCATCAATTCTTGTCCCTGACGGGTCTAGCTAGCGAACTCTGAAAAAGGGCGAGCACGATAGATCTATGTAGGTCGCAGTGCTACAGGTCCATGCACCTGACAATAGCCCTACAACAAATAAATAAAAAAAATTAGGAGCTATGGTTTTCATATAGGATAGACATTCCTTAGTAAACTTTCCAAAGTAGATATTACGCTTATGGATGAGTGCAGTAGCCCACTCGCTCCTAAGAATACCCTTCAATTATTGTCCCGGGTCAGCCCGAGCACAGTTAATCTCTTTAGGTCGCAGTACTGGAGGTCCAAGCAGTGTGCCCGGATTGAAAATTGGCGATAAATTAAGTGATAATACGAAAATTAAGAAATTTTGCGATACTTCTCTTTATTTATTTTATATACATATACAAGCTATCTCGGCATTTGTTTAGCATAAAAATGCATCGCTATTTAAAAATAGGGGTTGATGATAGAATGGTGATAATTTAGGGTTGTATCACTTTTTTATTGTTGCATCAGAAGAAACATATATACCTAAATAAACGGTTTTTTTTGGGTTGAGATAAGAGAGACGAGTCACCCTCTTATCGTATTTATATTTGACAGCCTCGGTGGTCTAGTGGTTTAGCACATGGCTATACTATCCGATTATCATGGGTTCGATTCCTCGCACGGTACAAACATTTGTATTCATGAGTATGATTGTTTGTATCGGTCTGGGTGTTTTCTATGTATAATATGTATTTATTTAGAAAAAATGTATCCATGTATTTATATCAGTTGTCTAGTATCCATAACACAAGCTCTGCTTAGCTTGGGACTAGATGGCGCTGTGTGAATTGTCCTGAGATATTATTATATTATTATTATTATGTATTGTGTTTTTTAAAGTCTTCTTTCTTTCCAGGTTCGGAGTCGTCAGTAATAGAGCTGACATTTGTAGATATCTTCCGTATAGAATATCACCCGGAATGTGCCTATGATTATTTAGAAGTAAGTACTGCTCTATAAACTTTAACAATACAAAAATAAATAAGGATAAAATGAACTCGCTTCCGATATCTGTTCGCTTAGATCTCTTAAACTACGAAACGGATTTTAATGCCCTTTGTAGCAATAGATAGATGCAAGAAGAATGTTTAGCTAGAATTATCCTTAAATAAATTTAAACATCTGTTAAGTCATATTTACTATGCAAAGCCACTCGCTAAATGATTACTTGAATGACATGCATGCATGGCAATAGTTATTCATGCACGGGATTTTCTTTTAATCTTAGATATAGACACCTATATAAATACATTCATTCATTCATAACTTTCTTAAATTATGGATGATTGAATCAATTTATATTCACCGACAAGAGCATAGCTCTTGCTGTGCTCTTGTCGGTGGAGCTCCCGACACCTTCCACGATCTTCCATCAGTCCTTTTAGCTGTTGATACGACACGACTCCAACTTTTTCTTTTATACCTATATAAATAAACATTGTAAATATACTAGCTTTTAAAAGAAACAATAAGAATTTCAATTGAGTTTCTTGCCAGTTCTTCTCAGTTGAATCTGTATACTGAATCAGACGGTAGGGAAAAAATTATAATACAAAATATTTGACGCTCATAAGCAGGTATATGGATTTTTGACTTTGAATTTAAATTTATATGCATAATATACACCTGCGTAGCCGGGGCGGATAGAAAAAATCAAATTAAACATTACTAAGTTTCTATTCTCAAAGACTATAGAGTCTACAGCATAGACAAATAATATTAAAGATAAACAATATTGATCTATTCTTTATTTGACCATACACTTTAACAATAAACAAAAGAGTATATACATATATGTGTGTATACTCACATATATACGAGAAATGTTTTTTTTATTCATTTAGTGTATTTTTTTGTGTATAATTAAAAAAATATTTATATTCTGTACTTCTCTATATTCTTATATATAAAATTCTCGTGTCACAGTTTTCGTTCCCATAGTCCTCCGAAACGGCTTGACCGATTCTCATGACATTTTGTGAGCGTATTGAGTAGGTCTGAGAAATAGAAATAGATATATTTATTTTAAGGCAAAACAACGTTTGCCGGGACAGGTAGTAAACTATAAGTTTCGTACTCGTCCGTCCGCGCAATTTTCATAAAAAAGGGTACAGAGTTTTAACTTCTTTATTCTACACACACACATAGTAAATGAAATTATATAGAATAAATGTAATGTACAAGGGCGAACTTCATATATTAATATATAGTTTCTCTTCTCAGATTCGTGATGGTTCAAAAGGATACTCATCATTACTTGGAAAACTTTGTGGGCATCAATTCCCCCGACAGATAAGGACGACAGGTCCATACGCCTGGTTGAAATTCCACTCTGATGATACTATTGAATATGAGGGATTCCATATTAACGTCGCAATTTTGAGTGGATACAACAGCCGTAAGTAATAATCATAATAACACCAGCGCCTGCACTACAATTTTCTTAAATCCTTAGTAATAACATCTCTTTCGACAACCTCTCCCACACCTGGCTGAGGCCCATGTGGGTACTACCTTCTTTTATAACAACCTATTTCTGCCACCAAGATACATGCTTTCTGGGGGGAAAGGGGATTGTTAATGTGGACTGATGGCCCCATTACCAGCCATGTACTATGTCAGGTTGACCTACATTCGATTCCGCTGGAAACCATCGTTATGAATCGTCTTAGCGAATTTGTCACGATGGGCTTACTGATCTGACCTCATGCTCATCTTATCATCCTCCACTAGAGCCCCGCCAGCGTAAACCGTTAGCACAGGCGGGTCCATTCCATTATCATCCATAAAAAAACATGCTTTCTGTTTTAGTTGAAAAGTGAGATATAGAATAGGCAGTGAAATTGCACGATAAAAGGAATGTTACGCTTGCCAACTTTTTTTACATGAAATAAACTATATTCAGATCTGTGAAGAATATTAAACATTATTATAGAAAAATGAACAGTATTATATTTATTTATTGTTTGAAATATATATTTTCAGAGCTTCTCGCCCAACTTACTAATTTACAATCTATTTTAAAAACTTCATACGCTTCTCCACAAATATAATTGAAATTAAAATAAATTTATGTGAGCGTCTAAGTATAAGACATAATAATGTGTTTGCATTTTATTGCTGAAAACAGTATTTTGTATACTTTATTTCTGGTCAACAATAAAAAGTATAATTTAGTAAAAAAACAATATAATACTGTTTAAAACAGTATAGTTGGCAACCTTAAGCTTAGTCCTCCAGACTAGCAATGCACAAATGCTATCACAATCACCATATAATAACGTGATGTCTAGCGTTGTTCATGTATATAGACATCAATTAACACTGTTCCATCAGGTGGACCATCGAAGATCCGTAAGCATTAACTTAGCTCGCAACTTTTATCGCCATTTTTCCCCACAGATAGAATACCAGACGAGTGCTACGAAGAGCTTGAGGGAATGTACGGCGATATAAATTCAGTGAAGATAGACCCGGCGTGTATTACTGGCAGTATGGGTCAGGCCCTAGACATCCTTTGGACCATCAGATCACCTGCTAACACTAGGGTATAGTAAAATTTCAATAGAGTATCTTTTAATTTGTTTGATGACTATTATAACCCCGTCATATTACTCCTAGTGAAGGTCAAGTCCTAAACATCCTTTGAACCTATCGCATCACCTAACACTATGGTGTAGTAAAATAGCAATAGAGTAACTTTTAACCTGTTTGGTAACTATTATGGACCAAGCATGTATTACTGGCAGTATGGGTCCAGCCCTAGACATCTTGTTGGACCATCAGATCACCTCCTAACACTATGGTATAGTAAAATATCAATAGAGTAGCTTTTAATACGTTTGGTAACAATTATGGACCAAGCATGTGTTACTGGCAGTATGGGTCCAGCCCTAGGATGTCTAGACATCCTTTTAGACCATCAAATCACCTTCTAACACTAGGCTATAGTAAAATAGCAATAGAGTAACTTTTAATCTGTGTGGCAACTATTATAGACCAAGCATATATTACTGGTAGTATGGGTCCAGCCCTAGACATCCTTTTGGACTATCAAATCACCTCCTTACACTAGAGTACAATAAATTTATAATAGTGTAACTTTTAATACGTTTGGTAACTATTATGGACCAAGCATGTTTTACTGACAGTATGGGTCCAGCCCTAGACATCCTTTTGGACATCAAATCACCTCCTAACACTAGGGTATAATAAATTTATAATAGTGAAACTTTTAATACGTTTGGTAACTATTATGGACCAAGCATGTATTATTGACAGTATGGGTCCAGCCCTAGACATCCTTTTGGACCATCAAATCACCTCCTAACACTAGAGTATAATAAATTTATAATAGTGAAACTTTTAATACATTTGGTAACTATTATGGACGAAGCATGTGTAACTGGCAGTATGGGTTCAGCCCTAGACATCTTTTTGGACCATCAAATCACCTCCTAACACTTATAATACGTCTGATAATTATTATAGACCCGGCATGTATTACTGGTAGTATGGGTACAGCCCTAGACGTCCTTTTGGACCATCAGATCACCTCCAAACACTAGGGTCATTTTCAATCAAGTAACATTTAATTCATTTCGATACTATTTTCATACATTTCTACATGCTGTTAGCCTGTACTCGCATAATGGCTTTTTTATCCGAGAGACTGTTCATAGGCCGCCATTTTGTGCCCCACTACTCTAGAAAGACCGGTAGTGATGAACATTATTCATTGATTTATTTTCAACTAGCTTCGATTTCACCTACGTGTAAAATATTATAGCCTATGTGTTATTCTGATGTAATAGTTATATTATTGTAAAGTTTAATTCAAGTACATTCAGTAGTTTTTGCGGCAAAGAGTAACAAACATCCACACTCACTAACTTCAGCGTTTATAATTTTAGTAAGATTACTAAGATATGTTCAATAATAATAATATTTTTTAAATTTCAGATATTTCTAGACTTTACATCGTTTATACTAGCGAAACCTAATGAATGTGAGGAAAATGTTATACAAGTTTTTGGATCCGTACTAGAATTTGATGCCAAGTAAGTATACCTAAATATATATAACTCAAAGGTGACTAACTGATATAGTGATCTATCAACGCACAGCCCTAACCACTGCACGGATCGGTCTGAAATTTGGCATGCAGGTAGACGTTATGACGTAGGCATCCGCTAAGAAAGGATTTTGATCGAGGGGATAAAATAGAGGATGAAAGTTTGGATGAAACTTTGTCAATTTTAACTTTTGTCAATTTGTCGGGCTGAGACTTTGCAGGCATAAAGCTACTATGACATAGGCATTCCCTAAGAAAGTATTTTGATAAATTCCACCCCCAAGGGGATAAAGTAGGAGATGAAACTTTGTATAAATCTTATTAGATTTTCGACTGATTGAAGTAAAATTAAAGATTGGAGCTACTATGATGAAGACGTTCGCTTAAATAGGATTTTGATAAATTCCACCCCATGGGGATAAAATAAGGGATGATGCAGGGTAAATGTATTAGTTTCAACCTATCAGTACCGAAAGGAACGAATAAATTAAGACGAACAAAATAAGTTTTAGTTCTTTAGGCTACTTTTATTTTAGAAAAATAAAGTTAAATTGTCGCGGGAACAGCTAGTCGTTTATATATAGGTATATTTACTTTATTGCCCATTGGTAGTGAAGCCGAGGTATCTGATGAACATGATGAGTCAGAGGTATTGAGGATTTACCAGGCAAAATTCGGAGATAAAGGAAAATGCGACTAATACGACAACGATATATAATAGAATGTTACAAAAAGAATGTGTCAAGAAAAATTAATTAATAAATAAAATTCAAAAATAATGTAACCGCCTTTTAATATACTTTCATTGTTCTTTGCTATTATATATTATATAGTTATTATTATTTCCTTAGTCTCGTGTGAAAGACGATATGTATAAAAATCAAATCAGAATTCATTTATTCATGTAGGACATTTAGCCGCTTATGGACGTCAAAGTTTATGTATCAATAAGTTTCCTTACCATAATATACAAATACTGTGGTATTTCTTTAAGTCAGGCTACATGGCCTATATTATAAATACCTTATAGACTAACATACATAAAAATTAATAATAAAATATACATTCGAATTATCTCTATGGTCAGTGCACTAACGACAGCAATCTGCCACGGTAGCGCCGATATACCACCTTCGGCCAGTAGTCTTTCATGAAGGTGGGCAGCATATTGGTGGGGACCCGGCCCACAAACGCTTTGAAACTCGCGTTGTGACTCGACTCCAGCTGCGTCAACTTCAATGTCAGGTTACTTCTTGTCCGTATGTAGTCGACCTCTTGAAGTACCATGTGGTCCGACCGCTGATTGCCATTCTAGTTGAAGAGAATTTGTTGTATTATTATTTATGATATTTACTGAGCAAAGCCTATTGCTAAACGATTACTTGAATGACGAGCGTGCATGGCAATAGTTGCTCATGCACGGGATTTTCATTTAATATTAGACACCTATATAAATATATATTGTAAATAAACTGGCTTTTAAAAAAAAGTAATTCAATTGAGTTTCTTGCCAGTTCTTCTCAATTGGATGTATCTACTGAACTGGACGGTAGGGAAAAATTAAAATTATAATGTAAAAAATTTGACTTTCTTAAGCGGCTAAAATGTCCTACGTGAATAAATGATTTTTGAATTTGAATTTGAATTAATTTTATAAATCTTCGCAGATTGGCTCACTACTGCGGCTCCATGGCGAATTCAGTTCAAACTAAGGGAAGGGATAGTAAGGGTGTAGGGGATGATGGTAACCTGATGTATGTTCGTATGTACGCTTCGAAAGCTGCGAAAACGGCCACTAACTTCACTGCCACATTCACTGCTTTTAAAACCCTTGATCCTAATATAGACGGTAAGTTAGTTATTATTATAAAAGTTTTTCAAGAAGAATATATTAACAAGGACAAATGAGCTTGCGATACATCTGATGGTAAGGATTAGCCGCCCGAGCACCCGCTACATCAAGGGGCTTGCTCTTTTCTAGAAGGTTTCAAAATCGTATCGGTTCGGAAGTACCATTGCTGGAAGGTGATTCCTTATTGTGGTTGTGCGTGGCAAATTTTTTCTTTAATTTCCATGATGTAGCTATGCAGACTTAAGTGTCCCTCTACCTCTTTCTATTTTTCACTCGTTAATCATCATCTACTGCTTCTTCCTTCTCACCTCGTTATCTCTCATCTCGTTTATTTGGGGTCTGCGTAATTTTCCCTCAATAAAGATCTTCATAAATTCATCGTGCCGTAATAAGTTTTATCTGTCTAGAATCCTGTGATGAAGACCAATTCAACTGCGAAGATAATACGTGTATAGCGAAGTCACTTATATGCAACGACCATGCAAACTGCAGATTGAAAACTGACGAAGACGGTGACTTATGCGCGGTAAGTATTCAGTATTTTAGTAATGACTGGCTCAGCCGTCATACTCGTGAACAGGTACGATCGATCCCCCATCCAATTCAAATGGGGATTGAAATCACGACTGCCTGAGCCGAGGTCGAATCTGCAGCGGTTCCCTCAGTTAAAGTCATCCATCAGGAGTTGGCCTACAGCCGCTCTATAAGAATATTCTCTCGTTTGGAGTGCCAGCTGCTAACATTAGAGTAATTCGGAAAAAAGCTGATAGGAACTGATCTGTTCTGATTACTGACTGATTTATTTTGTTACTAAATTTTTACTTCACATATTAATATAATGATTTAATGTTGTTTAGGCTGAGACCAAGTCGTTGATAAGCCAAACGCACATCCTGGTGATTCTGGTTATCTTCTCCCTCATCCTGTCTGGCATGAGCTTCGTTTTCCTGTTCAAATGCATCAGGAAACTGTACCAGGACCACAAAATCATCAAAGTTAGTATATATTATTATATTTTTTAGTGGGTGTGGGAACTAAGAATGGAGTGTCCACCCTGCGAGAGGATCTACTCCTTAAGCATACTGTAAACATTACACAGTGTCGCTTCTTTTTAGTCGCTTGGGGTAATTAAAATTTGTAGTAATTAAAAATAAGATATATATATATAGCTGATATTATTTTCTCCAGGAACATATAAGGCAATCGTGTGAAGACCGGCTGGACAGTTTAGTGAGCAGACGGCTCACACTTGACGCCCAGAGACTGCAGAGGGACAGTGAACCCCGACCTAGTCTAGAAAGGGACAACCATACCAACGAAATGTTTAAGCAACAAAGAAGCTTCTCCAAACATAAGGTATGTCTTAATCTACGCAAATAAAATTTAGTCTCTGTAATTTTAAATCAACCATTAAATGCATATGAAAGTAAGTATATACTTATATCACAAATAAATAAAAAAAAGTCTCAATTCTTCTTCTTCTTTGCACTATCCCACATTATTTGGAGTCGTCTTAACTCTACTAAAAATAAATAAGGCTCGACTATTTATAATTTATGAAATTTATTTTGAAATTATTTCAAAATGCAAAACATTGAAAAACAGATTTTCATTTAACGCTACTGAAAGTATATACGTATAGCCCATGAGCCCACGACGGCCAGACATACGTCATATTAGTAAACGTGAAAGTTCTTGTATGTGTGTCCCCAACACAGGTGAGAACGATCCCCAAACATGAAACCTGGATCGTGGTTCCTTTGGCAGGTAACAGGTAACAAAGGTGTAAAAAATTTCATATCAAATTCGTTATTTTAAGAAACTTCATATTTTCATATGTTGTTCGTAGCATTATTATAACTTGCGCTGCTCATTGCCAGACACTTAGTGTGGTTCCAACCCCCCGCCGGACCCCCCTAAACTATACTATTTTATAAATAAACTTACGTCATTTTAATAAAGCTAACTAATTTTTACGAGCTTACTAAGCGAACCAATTTTTACGAGAATCTCACTCGAATATAACAAATGTTATAATAAAAGTTCCGGTTTTATTTTAAGTAGACCAATTTCATTTTAGAAAATTTTATTTCACACGTGAGATAGCGCAAGTAACTGCTAGTCTGTAATAATAATTAATAGTGCATACTACTATTATAAATATGAAAGTGTGTCTGTCTATTTGTTATCTTTATTGATTATTTTCATCAACGGAGAGTCAGTCAGAACGAGCATAAACGACAACCTACAATTTATATTATAAATGCGAGAATGTCTCTCAGATTATATCACTGAAATTTATTATAGGATTAACACGAGGATATCAATTATATATAGAATGTCAATTATAAAAAGAATCATCAAAATTGGAAATATTAATATACTTTTATTAATATTTCCAATTTTTTTACTGCATTTTACGCTTAATCTTAACCAATTCTTTACCGATTTTGATGATTCTTTTTATAATTGTTATCCTATATACATTTGATATCCGATATAGATATCCAGAAATAGATTTATTCAAATAAACTTTATATAATCACTATTGAATAGTCATATATTTTTTGTATAATCTACCGCTCATTCGAAAAGCTGACTCATCACAAGAAGAACGAGCAAGAGACTTGCGTGTTGCTCTTTTAAATAAATATTGTTCAGCATTACATATTTATGACATTGTGTGAATATAAACAAGAAAATATACATATTCCACGTCCATATATTTATATATTATAATATATATATATAAAATTCTCGTGTTGGTATATATAAAATTCTCGATTTTATCATTTTATATGCATATTTAGTCTGAGAATCGGCTATCTATTTTTCATACTCCTAAGTGAGGGTTGTCTAGACCGATTTTTTTTTGACAATATTTTTTATTTCTATATTCTGTTAGATCGTCCGCGAGAATTTTACTTTATATTTCTAAAATAAAATCTATTTTTCATAACAAAAAAAGTGAAAATCGGGCCATTTCAGAGAATAGCCGGAACAAACAGACCGACAGACAGACAGACAAAAATTGTAAAATATGTTATTTTTTTGTATGACGTATTTATATTCATATGCATGTAGTAAAAAACGGTTATTTCAATATTACAAACAGACACTCCAATTTTATTTATATGTATAGATGTGGCGTTAAAAATACATATGACTCTAAATTGTCACCCTTCTATCACCAACCCCTATTTTTTAATTGCGATTTTAATTTATATACTATAACTACGTTTTTAGTGTCAACTAGTACATCTTTTAAGACATCTTTTTACTATAAAAAGATGTGTTCGGCTGTATTTATTCGTTAATCTCAAAAACTGTTGAACGCTGACATTATTGAATTGTCTAGCTGTCTGTATTCGTTAGTCTCCGCAAGTTCGGAGCGAGGACTTTATTAAATTTTTCATCATTCGATTTATTCCCGAGAGAGAGTAATATAATAATATAAATGTAATTTTTTTAATCGTTACTGATAGAAAATCTCTCCTACTACTGTCAACAAGAAAAAAGTATTATATATATATATTTATAATACTAGTATTATATCTTCGGTGAAATAGAAAAATATCAGTATTCAAAATTTACATTTTTTACAAGACTAGCATTTAAACTTTTGTTTTTTAATTTATAAATTACTGTTTCCTTTATAGTTTTAAATTTACACAAAAGTATTATATATCATTTTAAAATTATTTAGACAATGATTAAGACGGCGCGGTTAATTTAATTGACTTATATTTCAATTCGCTTCAAAATCCATTGCGTAATTTTAAAGATCAAAGCATACATAGGGACGGACAGACAGCGACGGCGACTTTGTATTATACTATGTAATGGTTAAGATTTTGTATCATAAAGCTAGCTAGCCATATAGAAGCGGTATCGTGACTCGGGAGGGGTTGGTGGTTGAGAATTTTTCTAATATTCATTCGCTTATTATTATGCTGCATAGAGATCGGCCAGTCAATATTCCACTGTGCATAATTGAGCGTATAAGAACTTAAACCTTATAAAAATTCCCACCCCTCTTACCCTCTCTACCCATCTTCTCGCTCTGTGTAGCTTCAGTTTATGAAACGGTAAAATAAGAAAGTAGGTTTATTAATACAGAAATTTCTAGATTATCATGTTTTTCATAGTTATAATAAATAAATAATAATCCTACACAATTTACACAGCGCCATCTAGTCCCAAGATAAGCAGTTCTTGTGTTATGGGTACTAGAACATAAATACATATATATATAAAAAACCCAGACCGATACAAACAATCAAACACTCGTGAATACAAATGTTTGTACCGTACTAGGAATAAAACCTGCGACTATCGGTAGTAAAGCTGTATGTTAAACCGCTAGACTACCGGGAATTTAAAAACTAATTACTTCTTCTCATTCCACAGGATAGCATAGATTCCGACTTCATTCAAGAAACGCATTTAGACGTGGACAGTGAACCCTGGAGAAGAGATGTAGACAGAGTTCCAATAGAAGTAGAAGATATACGAATTGAAAGGAACGGAAGAACAAGACGTAGCGATTTCAGTAAACGAGAGGAATCTATGAGGAGTAAGTCGAGAGACTCTAAAGAGAGAGAGAAGAAGGAAATAAGAGATGTGTCAGTCGGTGCGCCTGATACGAAAGAATCTAGTTGTCAGACTAGAGAGAGTCTGTTCCAGACTGATCCGCCGGCTAGTTCTGAAGGTAAGTTATTTGTAAAGGTAAGTTCATTCTGATGGCAAATTAATTCTGAAAGTAAGTTTAAATGTAAGTTAGTTCTGAAAGTAAGTTAGTTTCGAAAGTAAGATAATTATAAAAGTAAATTAGTTTTGAAGGTAAGTTAATTCTGAAAATAAGTTAGTTGTGAAGGTAAGTTAATTCTGAAATTAAGTTAGTTCTGAATGTAAGTTAATTCTGAAAGTAGGTTAATTCTGAAAGTAGGTTAGTTCTGAAGGTATGTTCTGTCTCACATTCTTCTGCCGCTAATCGGGGTATCCAAAATCCAGCTACAGAATTTGTTATTCATTAAAAATAACTCAATAATGAAGTAAAAAATATTTATAAAGTTTTTTCATTTTAATTATAATTTTTAACAAAGAAAATAGATTATTTAACAATATTGAGAAATGTCACAGAGTAGATAGTTACGTTTACAAAACACAGCTTACAAAGGAAGCTGCTTCTGAAAGAAGTGATTCTGTGGTATCCAAGCTGACGAATTTTATAGTCTGCCTCGATAAAATATTAAATATATATAAAACAGAGTTGTCGCCGCTGTCTGTTGTACACTGTCTGCTTAGCATAGCCTGGGACTAAACTAGACTAGACTACTATAAAACAAAGTCGCTGTCGCTGTCTGTCCGTACCTATGTATGCTTAAATCTTTTAAACTACGCAACGGATTTTGAGGCGGTTTTTTTAATAGATAGAGTGATTCAAGAGGAAGGTTTATATATGTAAACAACAATATATGTATATAACAAACATCTATCCATACTTACAAACTTTCGCATTATGCGTTGTAAAATGCGTTATTTGATGATGCTGTGAATTGTCCTGAGATAATATTAATTTTATACCAGGATCAGGCAGCAACAGCCGAGGATTCTCTACCTTCGGTTACTCAGGCGCTACCATAGTGAGACCCTCACCACCAGCCACCACCAACACTTCCGAAGTCACCATCGAGCTGTTAAGTCAAGTACCCCATCAAGATTCTGGCAAACGTAAGTACCAACTTTCAGACTTTTAAGTCTTGTTAAATATTCTATTTTATATATAGCATTCCTGGTTTTTTTTTTATAATAAGGAAATAACCCTGGACAATTAACACAGCGCCATCTAGTCTCACGGTGATCAGATTTGGTGTTATGGATGTTAGACAACCTATATAACTACTTTGTTTTGTAAATACTTAATAATAATCTCAGGACAATTCACACAGCGCCATCTAGACCCAAGTTGAGCTAGCTAAAGCTTGTGTTATGGGTTACTAGATAACTGATACAAATACATAGATATTTTATTTTTTCGTAACTACATACATAATATACAAAGAAAACACCCAGACCGATACAAACAATCATACTCAGGAATACAAATGTTTATACCATGCGAGGAATCGAACCCGCGACCATCGAAAGTAAAGCGGTGTGCTAAACTGCTAGATTACGGAGGCCATTAAATTTATTGGATGACTAGCTGTTCCCGCGACTTCGTCCGCGTGGAATTTATCTAAAATAAAAGTAGCCTAAGTTGCTCATTATTACATCAGCTACCTGCTAATAAAAGTCCCGTCAAAATCGGTCCAGCCATTTCAGAGATTAGCCGGAACAAACAGACAGACAGACAAAAATTGTAAAAAATGTTATTTTGGTTTAGGTATCGTATTTATATTCATATGCATGTAGTAAAAAACGATAAATTCAATATTACAAACAGACACTCCAATTTTATTTATATGTATAGATATATAGATAATGGAGTGATGCACCCTATACGCTAACGGTTTACGCTGACTATAATCAGATATGTACAATGTTAGTTTAAAAAAATTATCCCTCATTTATGTCAATAACATATAAACAAGAAAATTTAATAGAACAATACTTATTTACACTGTGTTTACACAAACAAAGTTTGTTTAAATTTAATATAATTTCTTTCATTGTCAAGCAATACTTCGTTTGCTTGAGCAATCCTTAATTAAAATCATTTGTTTAATCAAACACAATAATTTGTTTATACAAATTCGAAATATGAATTTCGAACACGTGAATGTATTAATATAATTAGCTCATTTGGTATGATAAAGGTAATTCAATTATTGATTTCCAATTTGGTACCAATGTACTAAATAATAAAGTACTTTATCAATTGAACTTGAATTGTTTGAAGTAGTTCAAAGGATGATTTGGATAGATAATTATTGTATTGAAATAGGGTTGCCATCTCAAAAATTTGAAAACCAAGAGACACAAGAAAACGCCGGATTTTAGAGTCCAGAACTCGGACATGTCAATAGGTTTTTTAACATAGTCAGTGTAATAAAAAATAGTTACAATGTCTTATTTTTTTTTATTTTCAGACCTTAAAATTAAATGTATTATTTTTTTCTCATCATTTTAAATGTACCTAACAAAACAGACTCTTATTACAGTTTGCTACAAATTGTTTTAATAATGGATACGATTTTTTTTGTTCTGAAAATAAAACGCAAATCTAAATACGAGTATATATAACAAAGGTGACTGACTGACATAGTGATCCACCAACGCACAGCCCAAACCACTGGACGGATCGGGCTGAAATTTGACATGCAGGTAGATGTTATGACGTAGGCATTCGCTAAGAAAGAATTTTGTTTAATTATACCCCCAAGGAGATAAAATAGGGGATGAAAGTTTGTATGAAACTTTGTCAATTATAAAACGATAGGGGGCGAGTGCAGATGGCACTCCAAACCCGCGGAAGGACTTATGGAGCTCTTGACGGATACGACTTTTTATAATCATAACATCGGTCCCCGTTTGAAATGGACGGGGGATCAATCGGAGGGGATTCTTACTGGGGTAGTCAATGATGTCGTCGACAGAAGACGTTGTTGTAAAACAAACTCAAAATATCTTTATTCATGTAGGTCTATTACAGACTCTTACGATATCTCAAATCTATCATCATTGGAGAGTCAGCCAATAATATTTATTCGTTTTTTTGGTATCACCTAGATTTGAACTCATTTTTTTGTATCGCCTAAATTTACTCACAACCTCTTTGGCGTAATTAATAGTGATATATGAAGACCTAAATTCACATAACAATAATGATATAATCAAATCACCCAATATATAAAACTCTTGTGTCACAGTGTTCGTAACAAAAGCCCTCCAAACGGATTGACTATTTTTTATGAAACTCGGGTATGTATGCAAAAGGTCTAAAAATAGGAAATAAACTATTTTAGTATATATAGTTTCATTTACCCTAGTGAGAAGGGTGGTCCACCCCTAAAAATACTTTATTTATTTTTTTCGACAAATTATTTTTCATTCAATCAGTTAGTCTTATACGATTTATAATATACTTTAAAAAAATTGGCTATTCAAATGTGTTATGGTTTTAAAGTTTATTTGAATAAACTTTATTTCTATTTATATTTCTCGTATATTCCAACGCTGATCGTAAATGAGGATCCTAAATTTAACTATATTAAGTTTATTTGAATAAATATAATTATCTATTACTCATATATGGCAACACTAATGAACGAGGCACCTATATTTAACTATATTAAGTTTATTTTAATAATTGTTAATTAAAATATCATATACATATATGATAGGCAAGACCTCCACCGACAAGAGCGTAGCTCTTAAATTATGAATGGATGAATAAATACATATATGTAGCAATTCAAATGAATGAGGCACCTAAATTTAATAAATCCATTAGCAATTATTACGTTTGTAATCACATAGTTTATTTTAATAAAGATTAAATATATTTATCATATATGGCAACCCTGATCGTGAATGAAGCACCTAAATTTAGCTATATTAAGTTTATTTTAATAAATATTAATTATAATATCATATACATATTATATGTAGCAATTCAAATGAATGAGGCACCTAAATTTAACATCTCCATTAGCAATTATTAGGTTTGTAATCACATTGTAATAATTGTCTACACTGGGCCGCACACTCAATTAGCGATCGGAAATTGGTTTCAGCTTCACAGAGAGTTCGTAATTTAGAACTGAAAATGGTTAGCGACTTGTTCTAAGTTAGATTAACTTGCATTGAACATATTGTATGGCGATCTGTAGTCGGATTAACAATATTCCGCTGCAAATTCATAGTAATGTTTTATCGATAGAAATTATTTATGTTGCCGTCAATCGAGCTTACTTGATCGCATTTTTTTAATTGAAATGAATTTATATTGCATTACAACTGTAACAGAAACAGTTTTATATAGTGTTACATAATTAGCCCACTGTTCTGAAACATGCTTACAAAGTAGTTACATTAGCATAGTTAACTTATTAAGTAACTGGAACTTCTTATTTAGTATGCTCGTAGTTAACTGTTAACGACCTCGGTGGTCTAGCGGTTTAGCACACCTCTTTACGACCGATGGTCGCGGATTCGATTCCTCGTCGAATGATACAATGTATTCATGAGTATGATTGTTTGTATCGGTCTGGGTGCTTTCTAATTAGAAATATAAATAATATATATTATGTACTAGTTGTTATTACATCAGCTATATACCAAAAATAGTCCCGTCAAAATCAGTCCAGCCATTCCAAAGAGTAGCCGGAACAAACAGACAGACAGACATACAAAAATTGTAATAAATGTTATTTTGGTGTATGTACCGTATTTACGAGTATATTCATATGCATATAGTAAAAAACGGTTATTTCAATATTACAAACTGACACTCAAATTTTATTAATATGTATAGATATATTTAAAAAATGTATCGAATGGTCGCGGGTTCGATTCCTCGCAGAGCACAAACTATGTATTAGTATCAGTTATTTAGTACCCATAACACAAGTTTAGCTCACTTAGGTCTAGATGGCGCTGTGTGAATTGAGAGATTATTATTATATCTATTAAAATAAGATTTATATCAAAATACTAACTGAGCCGCATAACGTTGTTTTGCCGTATAAATTAATATTGCTATTATAAAATTGGTGATTGAAGTGTGAAAATTTAGGAATGTATGTATTTTAATTGCTACCTTATGAAATTTAAACATTATGTGCGAAAAAATTTAAATTCTAATTTGGGGTGGACGGACTACCCTTGTCACTTAGGGGATGTGCATAGTATACCTACTATTCTCACTTGTCCAGAACCCCGATACTTGCTTGTATACTCAAGCTTTTCAATATTTATCCCGGACAATCGTGACGCGTGATCTTTCCACATCATTTTAGCCATATTTTTTTGTTACAGAAAAGAAAATCCCAGACCGTCGCCCCATGAGCACGGAGACGACTCGATCCGCTCCTGACGTCATTATAGTCTCGAAACCGATTGGCTGAGGGTGACCTTTGGGGCCCCCGCCGTGGGCCCCAATCCCCCCCGAATACTGGGACTGTAGCACCCCCCGGGAACCGAGAACATGTCCCGAGGGTTCCTACCATCCGCACACATGTCACTTTGACAGTCTCTCCAAGAGCGTGTCATTTGAGGACTGCGAAGGATATTACAGTAAATATTTCGATGAAGGACCAAAACTGATTTACGATTATTGTCTAAAAAGTGATTTTAATTGTAAGAAATCGAAGACATTGCCTAGAAATCTTGGCTCGTCAGTGGATTGTAAACCTAAAGTGTATCCGCAGAGAAGTGTGTGCTTTTATGGAATTGATGATGAAGTGTCGTGCCCAAGAAACAAGACTGTAGTGGTTCGAGCTGACATCGAAGCGCCTAGATAACAAATGTTCAATACCCAACTAAACTTTTGACTTTCGATGCTCTCATTGAAATATCAGTTGTTTTTATTGTAGAATGTGTTTTTAATTCATCATGTTTATGATTAGATGCTCTCTAATTGTGTTATCTGTTGTCATGAAAGATTTTGTTGCCTAAATCTAAGTTTGTTTGTCGAAAATTTATATTAAAATGTTATTATGAAAGTTATATTTGGAGATATAATTATATATTAAACTCGAATTCCGAAGCGAGTACACAGTGTGGTCATTATAAATTACTAAAATCAAGGGACCAATTCAAAGCATATAACTTTTATTTCCACGCCAAATAAAAAGTTCGAATTTTATTACTAAACAATTTTATTGCATAAAGTATATATTTTTGCGGGCAAGTTTGCTTTTGAAACTGTGTTTAAAAGACGAGATACGCTAGTATTACAGGGCAGATACCTCTGGAATGGCAACACATTTAAAACAACATTTATTCATATTGTAAAGCTTTAATTTGGGCTAAAAAGGACTTGTATCCAGAGCCGTAAAACATATTAATTAAAAAAATATATATTCAAAAAAGCAACACGCAAGTTTCTTTCTCATTCTTCTTGTGATGAGTCTGCGTTCCGAATGAGTGGTAGAATATAAAAATATGACTATTCTAAAGTGCTTGTATTGAGTTTATTTGAATAAAGAGTATTTCTATTTCATGATGGGTGATACGTTCATGATATGATAACGTGATGTTCGTGATGCTTTACATGTATATAGTATACTACCGGTTCTGTTCGTGTATCAGAAAATTAAATAGTGTAAAGGGAACTTGTATATAAAAATCATTACACTAGTGAATAATAGAGTAACTTTTATCAATACATAATTATAGGTCGTTTCTGTTTAAATGGAAGTGATCAATGAGAAGAAAATATAGTATATATATCGCCACACTGTGAACCTACTTCGGTTCGATTCTCGCTCGGTTGATGAAAGATTCTAACGCATTGGATCAGATTCTATTCGATAGAAGCTTTGTTGAAATTACAACTGTCCCGTGTATATCTGTTACTACATTACTACTATTATTATTATCCTTGCTTCTTCATTATAAATGCGAAAATAGCTCTGTCTGTCTGTCTCGCTTTCACCTCAAAACTACTGAACCGATTTAAATTAAATTTGGTAAACAGATAATCTAAACCCTGAGAAAGGACATAGGCTAATTTTTAATGAGAATAACGGGTTGTAAGGGGTTGAAAGGGGAGATGAAATTTGTATGTAATAATCGTCTTTTTTAAAGCTTGGACCTTGGAACTTATTTCTTAGGCTTTTGATTAAATTTTTATTTTTATTTATTCATTTATTTCAGGCAACTAGGCCCATATTATAAATACCTTATAGACTAACATACATATAATATAATATTTAAAAACTAATACAATAATATTGTCTGTGTGATCACGGCACTGAAGACGGCAATCTGCCACGGTAGCGCCGATACACCACACCTTTCGGCCAGTAGTCCTCTTTCATGAAGGTGGGCAGCAAGTCGGTGGGGACCAGGGCCACAAACGCTTTGAAACTCGCGTTGTGACTCGACTTCAGCTGCGTTAAATATAAATAAGTAGGACAATTAAAGTAAAAATGTTACCCTTAAGAGAGTTAAATAAAATAGGAGATGAACATTTGTATGGAAAATCATTTTTTAAACTAGAACGCTGAAACTTTTTTCTTCGGCTGTTTTGCGTTATATAATTGAATATTTTTTCATTATTTGGTCAAGGTCACTATACTACATATATATATAACACGCGGAGGAAGTTGTGGGTACAGCTAGTTACATATTTATGGTTTTTGTTTTAAATGATGATAATGGATTGGTGCACTCACCTGCGCTAACGGTTTACGCTGGCGGGGCACCAGTGGAGGATGATAAGATGAACATGAAGTCAGATCAGTTAGCCCAACGTGACAAATTCATCGGGAATGTATCACGATGGTTTTCAGGGGGAACCGCGTGGAGGTCGATCTGACATGGTACATTGCCAGCAATGAGATCATCAGTCCACATTACTAACAATCCCCTTCCCCCACATATTTATGGTTAAACAGTCAATACAGGCTGTATAGGACTCGTCTACTACCTTTATTGTATTCTTTTTTACAATAAAACTTCATTATCCGTGGCTAAAAAGAACTACCAAAGTAGAATTTGTTTTTCGGACTAATGCTATTGACCGCAGCTGACCTTTACAGCTTCACTGGACCATAGAGGGCGAGTGCAGATGGCACTCCAAACCCGCGGAAGACTTATGAAGCGGCTGAAGGCCAACTCCTGTCTGACGAATGCGATTTTAGTCTGAGGGTACGACGAGGAGTTCGAACCTCGGCTCTGGCCGTCGTAATTTTAAACCCCGTTTAAATTGAACGAAAGATGGATCTCGGAGGGTTCCAGATCAGAATTAGTATAATTTTAAGATATGTGTGGAATGAAAGCCAAATGTTATTTTGCTATCAACGCCATCCAGTAAGAAAAATAGGAAACAATACACATTTATTTTATCTTGCAGGAATGTTGGTAGTGCAGTGCGGTATGGTTTAACAAAACCGTACGTATTATCGGCTTCTAATAGTGCAAAATATAGATATCAACACCCATATGTACTGTTATAAATATCATTAAATCTGACACTGTTTCGATGACCGTTAGAGTTTTTTAGAACAAAATGACGGGGCGAGAACATGTTTGTTCTTTTTCTAAAAATTTTTAAAAGTCTTCCATCCAATATTGGATTTTTTTGGACAATTAATTAAACAGTTGATGAATCTTAGTTTATTTATTAAAATTAGGTAAAAAATATATACATTTAAATACGGAAAAGTTGGCTAAAGATTTCATTAACGCCCACGGAACTCGCTGGAAATAGAAAATTTTGCAATCCTTTAAAGTAGTTCTCGAAAATTCCACTAACATATTAAACAGCGAGTTCCGTGGGTGCGAAGCGAGAAACAGCCCGTATGTTCACAAAATGATGTTAATTTAAATAAATTAGATGCAAAATATAGTTGTAAGTAGACCAAATTAGTTGTAATAGAGATTGCACAAGTATTTGCAATATCAAAAAACAAAACCTGTACAGAAATATCAATTTTTGGAATTTAAATTTAGTGTATAAATATGAAGAGATGTACTGAGTACATACTTTCAATTTGGTATATTTAATACACAATTATAGCGTGTCTTTTTATCGAAATAAAAGTATATAAACTCTCAATCTAAGTCTGTTTAGGCTGGTGATATACAGTCGGTTGCTCGTCAGGTATACGTCAAACGATTGGCACGTTTAATTGTTGCGCCCATCTCTAAATACGGCGGAGTTGGCCAACTGGGTTAACCGACTGTATATCATCAACCTAATTATTCAACATAATTTTCAAAGGATTTTATTTCGAGTTTTCTGTTTCTTGTGCCGGTATTTTTTTTTTAATATCTGAGAGTATTATTAGCTTTAAGTTTGACTTTTAGAATGAAAGTTTTTAAATAAACCTGGTTCTTAATAGTGGGCGGTCTGTTTACATTGTATATAATCATAACTTGGCCGTTTTATTTTAAAACCAATTTCGATGAAAAGACCAACTACATTACATTAATATAAATATTATGAATTGGTTATTAAATATGCCAAGTATATGGTAAATATCAGAGTATATAACATGTTAAAGGCCTCTTCACACGATACGATTTCCGTCTGATCGGTTGGTTTTATCGTCCGCCATGATTGAGTCGATCCTATTCAACTGATGGGATAAAATGAATAGGTCTTTTATAGGAATGGGTAATTACTTTTACAATAAGATTACGAAGGATAATTTGAATCTATTTGTCAACAAAATCTCGTAGTAAACGGTAACTGATCGGACAAGGAATTTTTCAATATTTAAATTAATAATAATAACTCAAGATAATTCACACAGCGCTATCTATTCCCAAGATAAGCAATGCTTAAAGGTTTTTAACAACTGATGAGAAGCATAAATTTTTTTTTTTAAATCCATTTACAAGTATTAAATACATATACACGATTACCCAGACTATGTTACTTATAAATAGCCTTATACCTTACGAGAAGATGAACTTGCGATCATCGGAAATGTGCACGATGTGCTAGACCAAAAACAAATCTTTGCTTTATTTTTTGTATTGGATGAACTTAAAAATACGTAACTCAATTTCAAAAATATTTTGCACATAGAAAGCACATCATTAGTGAGGTTGTATAAAAAAAATATTCCTACAATAATAAAAACCGTACGATAAATTTAAATGTGAATGTAGATTATATCAGACAAAATGATAGAGATATGAACTACCTTGTATATGAAAATAAAGAAAATATTTAGCAGATTAGACTATACTCTGTAACGAGAGGTTTAAGTGTAATCGTCTGTCGTAGTATGGGCATGTAATACGTAGGAATGAAAATCATATCTTAAGGAAGGTGTTACATATAAATGTGGATGGTTATAAGGGCAGAGAAAGACCGAAAAAGATATGGACTGTGTGAAAGACGAACAGGGATGAATGGAAGAGAAAAACGTATTACGCCGACCCTAAATAAATGGGATAAAGAAGAAACAGATGATGACTATACTGTGTAACGTTATGTTACACTGTTTGAAGAAATACTATTACATAATATTGTTCCAAACTGATGTAATATGCGATTCATGCGCAAAGTTTATAGGACTCAAACCGTCCGATCTGACGA